ACGGGGTTGCCTTTATAGTAAAAAAAGTTATTTCTAGATCCATCTTGAAGTACAACATCGTGAGTGACAGGATCATATCCATACGCTTACAAGGAAGTCCAGTGAATACCACTATCATTCAGATATATGCACCAACAACCAGAGCCAAAGAAGAAGAAATAGATGATGACTTTTACAGATATATTTAATAGGAAATTTATAAAGCAATGTTAGCCCCAATTAATTTTTTTAGGCAGATTGCACCTTTTCAGTTTCCTCTCATAACATTTATGAGAAGAATAATTTTTCCACAATTTCTGGAATCTCCATGGGTTACAGGGGCCTTAGGGAGATGGTACCCAAGGAAATGTTTTGAGCTTGGCATTTTGATCTCTGTTCTGACTTGCCTTTTTCAGAAGCATTTGATGAGCGCCTTTCTTCCTTTCATTCTTGCTGCAAAATAAACAAAATATACTGGCTCTTAAAATATGAGCTAATTACACAGTCCTTGGCTTAAATCTCTCCATGAAGTTTGTGTATTTTAGGACCTAAACCACAGCACATATTTTTTATTTCTTCAAATAATATTGTTTTGTGTTTTGGAATGACACTTGGTATGAACAATTGGTTACAGACTAATTGTTCCACTCATCAAATGTACAGTACATACACTAGATTTTTAAAATTTTTTTATTTTCCATATGAGCTGCCAGAGCCAATGCTATGCGTAGGTGAAAACAGTCAGCTGCAACTGGGATGATGAAAAGAAACAGAAACTGTCTGCCTACCTTAAAATACTTTCCCCTCTAGCTTGCCTTTGGGATATGACATTATCTTCAGACTTTTCTAAAAAAATCAATGAATATTTTCTCAAGTAATATTCCAGGATCACTTTTTATTATATAAACCATAAATGTTCATTGCCCATTCAGGGACAAATGGGTCATAAGGGAACAGGACACAGACCAGAGACATATCAAAAGGCTGGGAAGAATAGGAGATTGTGTGGGGTGCTCTGGAGCTGTAGGAAGAGGACAGCTTGGGGATGGAAGGCACCTGTAGAAGGAAGGTCTTAAAGGGAGCCTGGGACCTCTGCCAAGTCAGTTAGTCTTCTCCCACTGGTGGGTTACAGTTGGACCTGTGAGACACAAAACTGAGACAGCAATGTAGGCTTTTAATTTTGAGATAGAGCCAAATTTTGCATGTTAATTCTTTTGAGGCACTTTGTTCCATCTTAAAAAAGAAAGACGTGAAATGACTGTGCAGGCATCACTGATACTGAGGCAAAGAATTCTGCACGTTCCTGTGTTACATAAGCCATATGGTTAGACAAACCCCTACTCATCCACTGTGTAAGTATCAGTGGAAACGGAAAAACTAATTATCATTGTTAAGTGCTATGTAAATGCAAATTCTTTTTATGTGATTCCAGAATTTAAAATAAAATTAAACCATCATCTTTTCCCCCGATAATTAATTACCCCTGACATTTTGCCATAGACCCACTTTAAAAAGGAATGAAGTTCAAATGCTGCATTATTCAATCAGATTTTCATTGCATTTTAAATCAGTGAGGTTAGAAATAAGGAATAAACATTTGCACATTTAACAGAGTAAACTTTTAGACAGTGTTCCATTTCTGATGCATCTTCAAACTTTATCCATGGTTTAGGTGTCTATAATCAATGTACTCTATCTGCATATAAGATATTTTTATTAACAACTAATTTCTGTATCCTTAATAAAAAATTGGATGCGATCACTCTGTTTTAGTATATCCAGATTTACATATTTCTTGCCATACTCAGTAGAGAAAGAATCAAGGACTTTAGAATACGTTTTAGTGCTTCTTTATCTTTAGGTTGTTAAGCATAATTAACAGAATTTTATAACCTTTTTTTCTCATAAAAAATTTTTGGTTTTCTGTAAATTAGTCCATAACAAACCATGAAAGAATATTGCTTAAACTATAACAGAAAGAACCGTGGTAAAAAATTGTGTCTTGCCTTTATAATCATATTGTGTTAGAAGACCTTAATATTAAAGAACCATCTCATAACTAGTAATTTGATAACTCTTTTTTAGTTCCTCTAAAAATAAAGAGGTTTTTCATCTCCTCTTGCAGGCAACGAGACTCTTCTGATTTGAATATATTTGGGAAATTTATTCCTACTGTTAAATTGAAAATGTCTGATACTTTCAATTACTTAAAACATTTATGATTTTAAGCTCCCAGCAGAAGTCTGCTGCTGAAGGGGGAAAATATTACAAGCTGTTAGCTAGAAGGACACTTATGTAAGAAAGAAATATGACATTGGTCATTGGTTTGAAAGCAGAAAGTTTTCTATTTTAGCCTCAAGGCTTTAAAGAATCTTCATTGGGCACTTCCCCCACTTAAAGGAGACAAATGACTGATGAGTGAAATCTTGAGCAGGTTCATAGCTTTTTTCTTTCATTCTGTTGCAGCCCAGAAGATGGTGAGATCCATCCAGAAATCTGTCGACTTTATATCCAGCTGCAGTGCTGCTTAGAAATGTACACAACAGAGATGCTAAAATCCATATGTCTTCTGGGGTCTCTTCAGTTTCATCGAAAAGGTATCTTTCTTTAACATATTGCATAAACACAAAGTAAAGTTAAACAAAACCTAATCTTTTGCTATATGCACTGTATATCTATTTATGCATAGTGGAACTGTATGTTCAAGCAACGTATGGTATATAAATTAATAAGTGAAGTCCATATCATACTAAGTGCATAGGAGTCCTACTAATTTTGAACAAAAATTGTGACAGAAGCAGTTCTTACTCTTTTTTGTTGTTGTTATGTGCCGTCGAGTCTCCTGTGACTTGTAGCGACCCTATGTACAGCAGCCTTAAACCCTGCTCTGTCCTGTGCCAACCTCACTGTCTCTGACACACCCACCCCAATTACCCTAGTCACTGAATCAGTCCACCTCATAGAGGGTCTTCCTCTCTTGCACCGTCCCACCACCATCTCAAGCATGACATCTTTCTCCCAGAACTGGTCCTTCCTTGCAACATGTACAAAGTATGTCAGATGAAGCTTCAGAATCCTCGCTTCCAATGAGCAGCCTCTCTAGGATGAACCTGTTTGTTTTCTTAGCAGTCTATGGTATATTCAATACTCTTCTCCAACACCACAGCTCAAAGGCATCAATTCTCCTTCTATCCTCCCTAATCATTGTCCAGCTCTCTGACGCATAGCAAGTGATTGCAAAGACAATGGCCTATGTCAGGCGCATCTTAGTCTCAAGAGTTTTTCCATTGCTCTCCAGTACTTTGGAGAGGTCCCTAACAGCAGACTTTCCCACTGTGATATGTCTTTTAATTTCCTGGCTGCTGGTGCCAAGAGTGTTGACTGTGGAGCCAAGCAAACTAAAGCTGTGAACAATCTCAATCTCTTCACCATCCATCCTGATGCTGCCAATTGGCCCAGCAATGAGAATTTTTGTTTTCTTGACATTGAGCCTCAATCCATATTGAAGGCTGCAATTTACTATTATTTTACCTACCATCTGAGTAGATGGCTTTGGTTGTTGTTGTTAGTTACCACCAAGTCAAGTACAACTCAGATCTAAACCCTGTTCTGTCCTATGCCAACCTCACAGTCTCTGACACACTTCAGCCCACTGTGGTTAGGCTTTGGCTAGAAATGGCAAAAATATAAAATTTATGTGATAAGTATTGCTGTCCAAGAATGTTGCTAACTCCATATATATATTAATTTGTAGTGAGATAAATTATATGTTGTGTCCTAATTATTTAAAAGAATTTAGTGAATAATAATGAAGTTTATTGGTAATAGAAAAATCACACTCAAACTGACTTAAATTCTAAAGGGGATATATTGACTTAAACAACTGAAGCCTCCAGAGGCGACAGTGACTTCAGACATGGATGAAGCAAGTCTCTGACTCTCATTCTGAGTGATTTTCTGTCTTGTCCTCTGTTATTGGTGGCTCCTCTAACTGGCTTGTCCTTCTTAGCAAACAACAGCAGTTCCAATCATCATATCTACACATCAAACATCCTGAAAGAGAGAGATAACCTCTCTTCTCTCACCTGTTATTGTTGTGTACCAACCCATAGCTGACCATAGGTTTTCAGACGCAGTGAATTACACAGAAAGAAATTACCCACCCTTCTCCCAGGAGCATCTGTTGGCCTCGAACCCTGTGCCTTTGGGATTGCAGTGTAGCTTCTGGCCACTAGGCCACCACAGCACCCGCTGCTGTCACCTATAAAACATAAATCGTGAGCTTTGTTATGATTGGATTGGGTCAGATTTTAAGTCTACTCTTGAATCATAGAGGAATAGAATGGTGTTGCTTTATTCATAAAATCGTATTCCTTGAGCCAGGAGTGACATCAACTCCACTCAACCAATGGCCATTGCAGAAAAGGGAGAAGATGGAAAGAAATAGATGCTGATGGAGAAACCAAACACATGTCTTACTAGAGAGCTCGGTTTATACCTTCTTTGTTAATCCATTTAAAATAAATTCATGCGCATCTATTGAATACAAGGTTTTGTCCTTGAGCTCAGGTGACTAGGAAACCTAGAAAGTGATTCTTGCCCATGACTTTAATTCAAGGCATCGAAGATGAAATCCCTGACAATTTCATTCTTTTCTTTCTTTATTATGATATGGTTGATTGGTCCAGTATGAGAATTTTTGTTTCCTGGATGATCGAGTATAATCCTTACTGAAGGTTGTACACTTTTATATTCTTCAGTAAATGCTTCAAGTCCCTTTCACTTTCCATAAGAAAGATTATGTCAGCTGTGTACCTAAGGATGTTGAAGAGGCTTCCTCCAATCCCAATATAATATTTTTCATATAGTCCACCTCCTTGGATTATTCACTTACTGTACAAATTGAATAAGCATGGTGAAAGGATATAACTATGACATATACCTTTCCTAATTTTGAGCAAACTAATCTGTGTTTCTTGGTCTGTGCCTGCATTGGAATCCAAATGAACACAACTAAGCATTCTAAAATTCTTCTCCATATTATCCAATAGTTTATTGTTCAACATTACTTTCCTATCCAGGTCAAGGACTGCAGCCTTCAATATGGATTGAAGCTCAACATCAAGAAAACAAAGATTCTCACCACTGGGCCAATTGACAGCATCAGTATAGATGGTGAAGAGATTGAGATAGTTAACAGTGTTAGTTTACTTGGCTCTACAGTTAACACTCTTGGTAACACCAGCCAGGAAATCAGGAGACGAATTGCATTGGCAAAGTCAGCT